GAAGGGGAGGCAACAGTAAATGTTAGCTGAGCTGGCTTCGAGGCTGGGGAGCACAGCAGCAGCATGTCCTCGGGGGAAGAGTGCACTAGACAGGGCTGCTTCGGGGTGACCCAGCCAGCTTAGGATGCCTTTAGGAAAAACAGCTGGGGGTGTGGTGAGTGGCGCCAGGGAGCCTGCTGTTCCCAGGTACCAACTGCCAGCTCTAGCCAATTTGTTTCAGGTGGAGGAACCTGGCCAGGACCCAGTCACTGGACTCAGTCCGAGGTAGGAGCTGTGTGCTTTCTTGGCTGTCAGCCACTCCCGGTTGCTGACTTCAGGCTGCCCGTGTCCTTCCTTGCCCCTTCTCTGGGCTCCAGGCAGGTTCAGCCTGGGAATCTCCTCTTAGGAGAGCAGAGGAAGCTGACTCACAGAGGCTGTGGGGCCGAGGAGCCCTGGGGTCACCATCGTGGTGCTAAGAACCCATGGACACTGGTTCAGCCAGTGTGTGTGGGTATGGCGAGCACCTGTTGTCATGGACACTGTGCTCAGCAGCTGTGCACAGGGCCAGCCTGAAAAATCACCCCCTCAAGGACCCTGGGGCTGAGAAGTAATAGCTGACGTCTATAGGATTGGAGAGAGCGAATGCAGGAACTGATGCAATTACTGTCAGTTAAAAAAAAAAAAAACAGTAATTGTTACCAAGCACCTACTCAAGGCTAGATAATAATTAGGTAATAAGGACACAAAGGTGCTTCCTAGCCTGTGGTGCTCATGCTCCATGGACAAACAGACATTAAGGAAATGATTAGAAGTGTGGTGGGTAGGAGACAAAGAAGCACAGGTGCAATTAAGGGCCTATGAAAGGAGGAACCTAATCTTGGCTGGGGCATTAGGGCTAGAGTTGGAGAGGAAGGATGTTCCAGCTGTGACCAGCAAGTGACACAGAAGGCACACGGTGACTGTTTCAGGCATAGGTACACGGAGGAGGCCAGCGCGCTACTGGGAAACTTCTGCATGAAAGTATAGGCATAGAGAGCTTTTCCCTCATTAACTCTGAGGCCCACACAGGAGAAGTAGAAAGAACTGGAGTTAATGCCCCTGCCCCAAAGGCTTGCAAAAGTGCTAAGACCCTGGGGGCAGGCTAGAGATCATTTAGAATTGGAGACAGCACCCGTCTTTCCCAGCCAATGGACAGATGGCTTATAAATGTTCTTTTCATCCAGAAAAACCTGACTATCCCTGACTATTGGTGAGAGCTGAGGTTAAGACAGGTAGGATTTGGGGAACAAACTGCTCTCCCTAAACCTGCCACCCAGACCTGTTGCTGAGCATGGAGTGACCCAGGTTTCCCTGAGGGGCTTGTTAGCCCGTGCAAAGCTACCTTACCTCAGAGGGCCCCAAGGGTACATGTGTTTGTTAAGTGATTGGAGATGACCTATCCCTGACCCAGGCTGTAGCCCCATGGGCATCTTACCCCTGGGTCTACCTGCCTCAAGGAAGTCAGATGGCTCCAGGATCTCGGGCGGCCAGAACATACGCCTCTTGCATCAAGCTGGGAGGCCAGGGGCCTAAGCCTGAGCCTGACCCAAACACCTGCCGTTTGGGATTCACTGAGGCATCCTCCCTCACCTCTACCCAAGGAACAGAGTAGATTCGCTCCTTCACCTTCTGTCTTTTAACCATCCATTCGTTCAAGAAATACTTATTGCCAGGCCCCATGATACCCACTGGAGGGCATACTGGAGTTTTGAAAAATTGGATATTAGGGGAGGCGAGGGTCAGGGTGAAGTCAGGGTGGCAAGTTCTACAGAAGCATTTGAATAGGAAGAGAATATGGCCTGTGCTTTCCCCTAGGAGGCCCCTGTGGGCTCGGCCTGAAGGTTGAGCAGGGGATGAGCAGACAAAGCATCAGGTGAGCAGAAGGTGGTCCAGGCAGAGTGAGCAACTGCTGGCCCAGCCTTGGAAGGGCCCATGGCTGATGCACAGAGGGCTTAGGGGACTCGAAGACAAATGTAGGCTGCATATGTGGGCCGAATTGGACCTTGACCATCCACACAGGAGGTGTGGAGGTAATACGGCCAAATTTCTGATTTGGAAAAGATCGCTCCAGACCCAGTGTGGAAAACAGCTGGGAGAGGCCCACTGTGGGTGGTGGGCGTGCCAGTGGAGCAGCTACTGTGACATTCCAGATGGTGATAGCTCCGGCCAGGGGAGGTGAGGAAGATGGCAACAAATGAATGCATTCAAGAGCTTTGAAGGAGGTTAGCTGGGCAGGACATGGTGATGCACTGGGGGAGAGGTGAAGGAAAGGAAGATGTAGGGATGTCCGTGAGGTTGCTGACTTGTAGAACAGATGGATGGTGACGCCATCCACTGAGGAGGGAGCAGGACCGAGAAGACCAGCTCTGGACCTCCTGGGTCTGCAGGTTCTGTGCAGCAGTTCAGTACACGCATCTGGAGCTCAAAGCAGGACAGAAGGGGTAGCACGAGTAGCTTGAGGGTCATGGGAAGCTAGGCAAGATGCCTGGGGAGAGAGGGCAGCGTGGAAGAAGAGGCCAAAGCCCACGCCTTGAGAAGCAAGCCTGCAAAGGAGATGGGGACAACAGACCTGAGAGGTCAGGTCGGATGAGGGCTGATCTGAAAACTCTACTGGGTGACATGAAATCCTGGGTAGCTGTAGTAAGGGCTGTTTGATAGTGGAAGGATAGAGGCAAAACCCAGTTTCAGAATGGGTTGAGGCATGAGTGGGAGGTGACGAAATGAAGACAGCTTGGCTGGGAACCTGGGTTGTGACGGGAGGGGTAGGGAGGGGAGCTGGAGGCGGGTGTGAGATTAAGGAAGCTTCTTGGTGTGTGTGTGTGTGTGCGTGTGTTTTCATGAAGAGATTCAAGCATCTGCAAATGCCTGTAGGAAGAATCAGATTTAGTGGTGTGGGGGGCTGGGGGCATGATGGTTGGCTCCATCAGAGGGAAAAGGGATCATTAATAGGGCTGGGGCCTGAGCCAGGAGGAGGGACAGCCTGGGGATGGGGTTAGCTGCAGGCAGGCCATCGGAACGATTGGTTGTGGGGGATGAAGAGCATCCCATCCCATGGCCCCATTCTGTGAAGTGAGGGGTGCACTGTCCTCCCTTTGCCTTCTGCCTCTTCTTTCCCTCTTACAGCTGTCCCCTTACAGGAACGGCAGCTGAGTGGCGGTAGCTTTAGAAGGCCTCCTCCAAGCGAGAAGGAAGGACTGGCCCAGCAGTCACTTTTCTCAGACAGGGCCACGCTGCTGAAGGCCAGCACACAGACATTTGCTTGGAGGGAATCCCAACTGTTTATTCTGGCTTTCTTTAGCTTTAGCAGTAGGGGCCTAACCTCCTAAAATGGGGACAGACCGGGTGTGCGTCTTTCCTGGCCTTGGCCCCCTTTGGGAAGGAGAGATCTTCCTCAGCAGGAATGAGGCTGGCAATGGAAGGGCAGCAGGAGTACTGGGGGTCTCGTGGCTGGGGAGGCAGCAGTCTGCAGAGCCCCACCAGCCCTGCAGGAGAGGGGACAGGTGCAGAGGCTCCAGATAAAAGCTGCCTCCCAGTGCTGGCTGGGACACACAGATCAGATGGGCCCGCTCTTGCACAGCCTATAGGGGCCATCTGGGGAGGGGCCCTCTTTCTTCAGGGTCCGAAAGCAGGCAGCTGAGTTCTGTGAGGTGGGGAGAGGGGGCAGGAGGGGTGGGTGAAGAGCCTGTTTAATCATTAATCTGGCTGATTGAAATCTGAACTGCTGGGCCTCTGGCTCCATTGATTTTCTCTGAAAGCACAGCATCTGGGGCTGGTGGCTGCCCAGAGGCCGGGGAGAGAGAAAGGTAGGGGCAGAGGGGGCAGGGAGGGAAACGAGAACTAGGCCAGAAGTGGGGGGCTGGGAAGGAGGAGGGGGTCTGCGGGCTGGGGAGACAGTGAAGTCAGGACAGGGGAGCCGGGAATTTTAAGCACCCTTGGGGCAGGCGCAGTCAGCATAGCCACAGAGGACCAGGGAGAGCAGGAAGGAGCAGGGAGGGGGCAGCAGAGAGAAGGCAGGTGAAGCCCAGCAGCACAGTGACCTGCTCAAGGTGACAAGGTCAGAGCCTGCAGCGAACAGGCCAGCTGACTTCTGTGCACTGAGAAGACAGGATGTGGAGAGGGAGGCCTCCGAGGTGGGTGATGGACAGGAGAGGAGGCACAATCCAGACAGCCGCTTCCCTGAGGTCGGTGGCCTGCCTTCTTTCTGCCTGTGCGGACACAGCAGACACTCGAAGCAGGGACTGGTCTGCCCGGACAGGCCAGGCCATCATCGGAGGAGGGAGGGTGGAGACAGGAGGAGGGAGGCAGAAAAGAGGCTGGAGAAGCAGCCTCCCAGCAGGACACCGAGGAGACACCTGTTCGTATTCACTGAGCCAAAACCAGAGCCATGACAAGACAGGTTTTCACCAGGACATCACAGGGCTCCTGGCTCCCCACTATTTGCAACAGAGGGACTCACGGGTCCCTGTAACTCTGAGACAGAAGGGGAGCCTGCCTGTGGAGTCACGTTCCGTTCCGGTGGGTAGGGTCGGAAACACACACGTGGGCACCAATGTGCCACTGTGGTACCCACGGCTCCCTTTGCCACTGCCAGCTCCTGGAATAGTTCTGCTCTGTGCAGGAGAGGCACGCGCCAGGCTGCTTCCTGGGAAGACCAGGAAAAAAAGGGAAGTGGCAAGAGCTCTGAAGACACAGGCGGTCAGGTCCACGGAGGGAACAGACAGTATACACACACTTGTGTGTCTGATGACACAGGAAACGTGCTGCTACAGACAAAAGCAGAGGCAAAGTCTGAGCCATGTGGAAGGCGCCACTGGACCCTAGGCTCAGTCTGTGCTGGTGGAGCAAGTGGGTGCCAGCCTGGCCAGTCCTGCATCATGGAAGCTTCCCCCTGGACACTGTAATGGGGAAAGGCACCCTAACTAAGGGCGCTGAGTCTGGAGTCTCCTGTCTGTAATGGCTTTTCTCCCCCCTTTCTCTGACAGCTCAACATCCTGGTGGACACAGGCAGCAGCAACTTTGCAGTAGGGGCTGCCCCGCACCCTTTCCTGCATCGCTACTACCAGAGGCAGCTGTGAGTCCCGGGGGAGGGTCAGGGGAGGGCTGCAGGGACAAAGACAAGATCCCCAGTTCCTTTCTTCCTGCTGGACAGGGGAAGGGAAAGGAAGCCACTGAGAGCAGAGTGAAGGGTGACGAGGGGGCGCTTCAGCAACTATAGCATGGGAGAGTGCAGCTGAGGGACAGCAGCCCATAGCTCCCAGAGCCATCTCAGGGGGCCCTCAGGTCTTGACCACACCAGCTAAGGCTAGGCTGAACGAGGCCCAGTGATGGCTCCCTTTGTGGTGTTCTCACGAGGGGTTGCTCCACTCTAATACAGCTCAAGGACTTGAAGCAAAGAGCTTCCCTAAACCCACTGGGACATTATCAGGGCCTGGGAGCTCAAAGATCTCTGCGTGCCTTGCAGGTGCCACCAGCTTACTGGTGGGAGGGCCGAAGTGGGGTTTTTGTGGGAAGAGAGGCATTGGGGGATGATCTGGACGTCCCCAGGGCATAGAAGCAGGAAGAGGAAGTGGTGACAGCAAAGCTAACGCCTGACTCATCTGTGTGAAGATCTGTGTGCATGAGGAGAGGCTCACCTCCCACCCTTGGATTCCTAAGCAGGGCAGCACCCACCTTCCCTATCTTCCCCTTGAACGTCTCTATCTAAAAGAGTCAGGGAGACGGGTTAGAGCAGGATCCATGGAGGCACTTCACGCCAACCCCATCCCTGCTGCCCACCACCCAGCAGCCCACAGTGAGGGTGTCACACGTTGGCTAGCATGTTTCACACAAGCGGTATGTGACACTTGCCTGCTCTGCTGAGACACTTGTGCAAATCCCATCTTCAGAGCTGCCTGTGGAGGTTCGGCACCCACCCTGCCTGGCACTCCACCACTCAGATGGTACCACTGGAGCCCAAGGCAGCAGGAGAGTCCATGTCAATGGCTCCTTTTCTCTGGGAGCCTGATGGAGCTGGGGGGAGGGGAAGGGAGGGGCGGGGAGGACGAGATGCCCACTAGCTATCCTTGCAGCAGCAGTGGGCACAATACACAAAGGCTAGGCTTGTTCTCCGTAGGGCCTGAGCTCAAGATCTAGAAATATGAGCTATGGAGACAGGACAGCAAGCCCCAGCAATAGCTCCCCTCTTCTATTTGTCACTCTCCAGTCCGTTCTGGGTGATGGGTCTAGGGACGTTCTGTAGAGCAGCCTGAGAGCAGACGGTAGGATGCCCCAGAGATAAAGTAGGAGTGTTGATAAATTCATATACCAGTTGTTGGGGTTATGCACCCACAGATCTCTGCCTCCTTCCCACAGGTCCAGCACATACCGGGACCTCCGAAAGGGCGTGTATGTGCCCTACACCCAGGGCAAGTGGGAGGGAGAACTGGGCACTGACCTGGTAAGCATCCCTCATGGCCCCAACGTCACCGTGCGTGCCAACATCGCTGCCATCACGGAATCAGACAAGTTCTTCATCAATGGCTCCAACTGGGAGGGTATCCTGGGGCTGGCCTACGCTGAGATTGCCAGGGTGAGAGAACAAGGCCTGGGCCTACACTGTCTGCACAGTGTTCACTGCATGCTGCAGAGGGAGGGAGTTGACTAAAGGAGGGAAACAGATCAGTTTAAAGGATTATTTGATGGAGGAAATGGTAGCAGTCTGAATTTCAGCCTGACAGAGGACAGAACTGTAGCGAGAGGAGTTGTGATATGCAGAGAATTAGGCTGTGGGTTTTATTTACCATATGATTTTTACTAAGAGCAGACCCTTGGGGTGGGCATTATAGTATAGAGTTGAGCCACCAGTTGGGACACTGATATCCCATATTGGAGTGGGTGGGATCCTCTACTTCTTCGTCTTCTTCTTCTTCTTCTTCTTTTTTTTTTTTAAGATTTATTTATTTATTTGAAAGTCTGCGTTACACAGAGAGAGGAGAGGCAGAGAGAGAGGTCTTCCATCCGCTGGTTCACTCCTCAATTGGCTGCAGCAGCCGGAGCTGTGCCGATCTGAAGCCAGGAGTCAGGAGCTTCCTCTGGGTCTCCCACGTGGGTGTAGGGGCTCAAGAACCTGGACCATCTTCTACTGCTTTCCCAGACCATAGCAGAGAGCTGGATTGGAAGTGGAGTGGCTGGGACTCAAACTGGCATCCATATGAGATGCCAGCACTGCAGGCGGTGGCTTTACCCACTACACCAGAGTGCTGGTCCCTCCTCTACTTCTGATCTAGCTTCCTATTAATGTACCTGGGAAAGCAGCAGATGAAGGCCCACGTACTTGGGTCCCTGCTACCCATGTGGGAGACCTTGATTGAGGTCTAGGCTCCTAGCTTCAGTATGGTTCAGCTCTAGCTGTTGTAGGCATTTTGGGAAGTAAACCAGAAGGCAGATGATATCTTTCTCTTTCAAATAATTATTTTTTAAAAATTAATCTTATAAAAGAGAGGACCCCATAAATCTGAAACAGGCTAGGCATACGGGGATCAAAGATGCTATGGTATAGCACTGTGGGTCCTTCAGTGTTTTCCTGATTGCATTGCAAGTATCTCTTTTTTTTTTTTTTTTTTTGAGAGGCAGAGTGGACAGTGAGAGAGAGAGGGCCGGCGCATCGTGCTGATCCGAAGCCAGGAGCCAGGTGCTTCTCCTGGTCTCCCATGGGGTGCAGGGCCCAAGCACTTGGGCCATCCTCCACTGCACTCCCTGGCCACAGCAGAGAGCTGGCCTGGAAGAGGGGCAACTGGGACAGAATCCGGTGCCCCGACCGGGACTAGAACCCGGTGTCCAGCACCGTAAGCCGGAGGATTCGCCTAGTGAGCCACGGCACTGGCCCGAGTATCTCTTGCTAACCCTCTCTCTGCCAATTCTCAGCACCTCAAGAGTCTTTCCCAGATAACATCCCCCAAGTTCTTGCTTTTGCCTTCCAGTGTAGGCAGGAAGCTGGCCTTTGTCCGGGGAGGGCCTCCAAGTGAGAATTTACTCTGTCTCTTTCTGCCGCAGCCTGACGACTCCCTGGAGCCCTTCTTCGACTCCCTGGTAAAGCAGACCCATGTTCCCAACCTCTTCTCCTTGCAGCTCTGTGGCGCTGGCTTCCCCCTCAACCAGTCTGAGGTGCTGGCCTCAGTTGGAGGAAGCATGGTGAGTAGGTCCTCAGACAGGGGAAGTCCTGGCACTGGCAGACACAAATGTGCCGTCTGCCCCTCTCCCTCAAAGCCACATCACTGTGGTGGTTCCATGACTTAGAACAGAATAATTTTTTACTCTCCACCCACCTTTCTTTCTCCATTCTTTTCTTCCTTGCATTATTCCAAATTTGAGGTACCAATGGTAAACTTGGAAAGGATTGGAAATGTTTAAATAAGACATATCAAAATCAGAGTTTTCAGTCTGATGGTCAGAAGACAAATATAAGGAACTTAAGGAAGTCAATGGTGAATGACGCAGAGAAAACAAAACTTAACAGCAGCAGCAAGTAATCATTCATTCAACATTTATTATGCCAATTTGGATTTAAATAACCTTATACCATGGGGTGCGTAATCTCAAACAACTGAAAATCCTAGAAAGTCTCTTCCTCTGAACACATTTAAAAAACTGCAAGCCAGGTCTGAGCATGACTTGACTAAAGCAGGAAGACCAAAAAGGTGATCCAGTCTCCCAGCAACTTGCTCTCCTCCTGTGCTGGGACCCGGGTACCTCTTTTTCTCCTAGATCATTGGGGGAATCGACCACTCGCTGTACACGGGCAGCCTCTGGTACACTCCCATCCGGCGGGAATGGTATTACGAGGTAATCATTGTGCGGGTGGAGATCAATGGACAAGATCTGAAAATGGACTGTAAGGAGGTAAGAAAACCAAGGGGGCCAGGGGAGGTGAGGGGAGAGGGGCACAGTGGGAGGGAAGACCCTGGCTGTGAGGCTGGGAGGATGAGGCAGCAGCATAGGACCTGTGAGGAGTCGGGGACTGTGTGGAGCCCAGGACAACTATGTAACAGGACCTGGGGTTTGGGGCAAGGACTGGCAAAGCACTTGCACAGGGGCCACAGGACATATGGTCTAGAAATGAAAAAAGCATGGAACTGGTTCTAACGTCCAGACCCTAGTCACTGCCTTGCCTCAAGACCTTGGTCCAGCTGTTTGCAACACTGTGCTATGATGATATGACATAGAGATGGTGTTGGAGTCAGAAAGACCTGGAGCTGACTATAGCCTGCCACTTAGTAGCTGTGTGCCCTAAGGCACCTTACTATTGTTTCAGTCTCCTCATCTGCAAAGCAGGAGTAAAAAACACTTTCTCAAAGACTGACAAACATCAGACAAAAGGTATAGAGTTAAGTCTATGATTAACCATACCCAACCATTTGCGTCTTCCCTCCTTAGATTCTCATGTATGTTAAATTAAAACAGACATAAAAGTATTACAAAAAGTTAAAAGCATTTTAAAAGTTTTTTTTTAGATTTTTTTTTTTTTTTTGGCCAGGCAGAGTTAGACAGTGAGAGTTATAGACAGTGAGAGAGAGACAGAGAGAAAGGTCTTCCTTCTGTTGGTTCACCCCCAAAATGGCCACGACAGCTGGCACATAGCGCCAATCTGAAGCCAGGAGCCAGGTGCTTCCTCCTGGTCTCCCATGTGGGTGCAGGGCCCAAGCACTTGGGCCATCCTCCACTGCCTTCCTGGGCCACAGCAGAGAGCTGGACTGGAAGAGGAGCAACCGGGACAGAATCCGGTGCCCTGACTGGGACTAGAACCCGGAGTGCTGGTGCCGCAGGCAGAGGATTAGCCCTGTGAGCCACGGCGCCAGCCTAAAAGTATTTTTTAAAAGTATTTTTACTTTCAAGATTTGGAGAGTGTCTGCCCAGCCAAGATATTAAGAATTCACTTCTGAGTGCCTCCTATTTGCTGGTCACAATTCTAAGACCTTGGTATATTCTTTAATCCTTATAATAACCCTTTGAGGTAGGCATTATCTTCATTTCAGAGGTGGGAAAACTGAGGCACGGGGTTAAGTAACTTGCCCAAGGAACCAAGCTTATCAAGTGGCAAAGCCAGGACGCCAAGCCAGGCACAACCCAGGCAGTCAGACCCAGGCCTCTAACCCATGCCTCTGCCTCTGCCCAGAGCCTGGCGGTGGAAACTCATGACTCTCTTAACCTCTCCTCCCTCTTAGTACAACTACGACAAAAGCATCGTGGACAGTGGTACCACCAACCTTCGTTTGCCCAAGAAGGTGTTTGAAGCTGCAGTGAAGTCGATCAAGGCAGCCTCCTCGGTCAGTGGACCAGGGACGGGGTACAAGAGATGACGCAGTGTCAGAGGAAATTAATAGGGTCACACCGCTCAGCAAGCCACGATGTCTGCAGCTAGGTCCTTCCACTCAGAGCTCCTAAAAAGTGTTCTCCCTTGTGGGTCTGTGTCCTCATCACACAATCCCCCCCTGCTACAACTGAATTGACCTCCATTTCCTGCTCTCTTCCTCTATTCTCCTTGGGTCACAGTTCACCTTTCCCTACTTGGCTATAGCCCTGGAAAAGCAAGCATGAGACCCAGTTAGCGTTATCTGGTGACGGGAGAGGTGAGATGGTGAAAGAGACTCACTTCTCATTGTTCTCTACTTGGCAACACAGACGGAGAAGTTTCCGGACGGTTTCTGGCTAGGGGAGCAGCTGGTGTGCTGGCAAGCAGGCACTACCCCTTGGAACATTTTCCCAGTCATCTCACTCTACCTCATGGGTGAGGTCACCAATCAGTCCTTCCGCATCACCATCCTTCCACAGGTATGTTTCCCCTAGCCTGAGGCCATGGGAACCAGGGAGAAGACAAAGCACATGCTGGGAGATAGTGAACACACACAGTTTCCCAGGGCTTAGAAGACAAAACAGATGAGCATTCAGTGATAAAGGGGTCTTCGACAACCCAACTCTTCAGAGTTCAGGGATGACGCGGGGGAGAGCTACCTAGGGGCAGAGATAGTTGGAAGGCAGAGATGGGGTACGGGATGGAGTGAGGAAGACACACTCTCACCCTTTCATCACTCACCCCAGCAATACCTGCGGCCAGTGGAAGATGTGGCCACGTCGCAAGATGACTGCTACAAGTTCGCCATCTCACAGTCATCGACCGGCACTGTCATGGGAGCTGTCATCATGGAGGGCTTCTATGTTGTCTTTGATCGGGCCCGAAAACGAATTGGCTTTGCTGTCAGTGCTTGCCATGGTGAGAGTGCCAGGGATGGGGATGGGGTCAGTCTACCCGTGTTCTCCCTATAAACCTGGGCCTGTTTACTTTAGGAGATATTAACATATTGTGCAAGTGCTAGTGTCAGTGTCTGCCATGGTGGCCCTTGCCTGGATTGGTAACCTCTGTTGGAAACCCTGAGCAAACAGCTGCCAGGGCACCTTGGGAAGCCCTACTGGCTGCCGTATGGAGAGGCTGAATGCTCTTCAAGAGAGCTGGCAGGGTTTGCAGTATTTACAGCAGCAAGTAAGTCTACCAGCTGCATAGATCTGGCTTTTTGGTCAGCTCAGAACTATAGGGAAGGGGTGTTGCTCCCAGTGCCCTGGGGAGGGAAAAAGGCCTCCACCTAGCACAGGTTTCCAAACTGCCTGTAACTATCTCCAAGAAAGAGTCAACAGGGGCTGATGCTGGGATCTAGTGGTAAGGAAGGTTTTTTGTTGTAAAACCCAAACTGCTCTATGACAATGAGCTGCCCATTCACATCTGTCCTCTCCCCAGTGCACGACGAGTTCAGGACAGCAGCAGTAGAAGGCCCTTTTGTCACCCCGGACATGGAAGACTGTGGCTACAACATTCCACAGACAGATGAGTCAACTCTTATGACCATAGCCTATGTCATGGCTGCCATCTGCGCCCTCTTCATGCTGCCACTCTGCCTCATGGTGTGTCAGTGGCGCTGCCTCCGCTGCCTGCGCCATCAGCACGACGACTTTGCTGACGACATCTCCCTGCTGAAGTGATGAGCAGTATGGGCGGAAGAGAGATTCCCCTGGACCACATCTGGGTGGTTCACTTTGGTCACAAGTAGGAGACACAGATGGCATCTGTGACCAGAGCACCTCAGGACCCTCATCTGCCCACCAAATGCCTCTGCCGTGACAGAAAAGAAGGAAAGCTGGCAAGGTGGGTTACAGGATTGCACCTGTGGGAGACAGGAAAGGGAAGAAAGAAGCATCCTGGTGGCGGGAATACTCTTGGTCACCCCACAGTTGAGTTGGAAAATTCTGCTGCTTGAAACTTCAGCCCTGAACCTTTGCCCACCACCTTTAGATTTTCCAACCCACAGTATTCTCCTTTGGCAGTTCCGGAAGTACTGGTATCACACCCAGGTCACACCAGTGTGTCCCTACGGTACCCTGGCAGAGAAAGAGCCACGTTGATTTTCCTGCTGGCAAAGTCAGCAGGACAGGATGCAAAGTTTGCGATTTGCTTTAGAGATAGGGACTCTATAAACAAGCCTAACATTGATGCAAAAACTGTCTCTTGAATTAAACAAAAAAATTATTAGATTGAAGATGTGTACACTTGAGGGTGATCTGAAAGAAGAGGAGAGGGAGTGCAGACATGGAACAGCTTGGATCAAAGCTAGAAAAGACAGAAACACAACCACATGTCAGTCCCAGTTTTAGACCTCATCTCCAAGACAGAATCCCATCTCGTAAGGTGGGTGTCGCTTTCCAGTGTTTTCTTTTCTGTGGTTGCAGTCTGACTAAATGCAAGAAAGGAAAAGGGCTTATCTGGCCAAAGAGCTCTTTTTGGCTCTCTTAAGAGAAAAGTGCCCACTAAGAAATTCTGCTTAACAAATGAATTTCTACCTTATTAATCTCACTTGTCTTTGCCTGAACGCTTCATTTCACAGACGACAGGTAGTGCTGAAAAATCCCAATCCCCTAGGTCTCAGGTGCCCTACCGGAGAGAAGTTGGAATACAGCAGGGCTGGGCTCTGTCTTCCTGGTCACAAGTTCACTCCTTCCCCCAAAGCCCTATTCCTTGGGAGCTTTGCAGCTAAGGTGCTAAAAGGCAGAGATAGGAGACCTCTCCTACCTAACCCTTGAAAGTAAAATCCTGGAGATTCACCCAACAGGTATAGAGTTGATGCCCTATACCTCTGCCTGAATTTCTCCCTGTTCAGCTGTAAGTATAAGGTCTTTACAGAATACAGAGTGGTTTTGTTACTTTCTTGCCCTCTCTAATGGTCCCTCCATTTATTTGGCTATGGCTTCATATACTGGCTAGTATTATCCAAGAATGTCAGCAATGCAGGGTGTTCTGGCTCTAACATCCTTGCCATCAGCATCAAGGCTGCATGGAGAAAGGATGGCAGCCCCTGGGCATCCCCATTTCCTTCACCAAAAGGGTTCCTTGATGGAGGCCATCCTTTCCCTCTATGTTCTCTCTGCTCCCCACTCCTAGTAATATGGGGGTACCCAGGCTGGTTCTTGGGCTAGGTAGTGGGGACCAAGTTCCTTTCCTCCCCATCAGTTCCAACAGACTATGACACCAATGTTCGTGGGAAGAACCGAATTTTGCTGGTATACCCACTGCATCCTATTCCTATTTGGTCATCACACTGCTTCCAGGTATGGGACCTACAAAGTGTGGAATCATCAGATGAGGGAGAGGGAAATACAAGGAGGGCCTCTGGGGTTCCTGGCCTCAGCCACAAGCCATAAACCAATAAAACAAGAATACTGAGTCACAGTTTCTTATCTGGGTTCTCTTCATTCCCACTGCACGTGGTGCTGCCTGACCGACTGGAAACACTCTGTCACTACAAAGACTGACAGCAGCCTGCAGACTGTCCATTTCTAGCTCAGACTTTACTGTGTAAATAAACTTCCAGAATTGCTACTGTGAAAAGAAAATACCACATTCTGCTTTATAATATCTAACCTTGTTGGGGAAAACTGGCTTTTTCCCAGCTCTTTTCAAGGCATAAAACTCAACCCCTTCGTTCCTTAAGTCCTACTTACTATTTTTTTTAAAAGAAAACTTGCACTTATTTTCTTCTTTACCCTGAAACTGAATTCTAAGTGTAACCGCAACAAAAAAAAAATCTTAATAGCATCTTGCTCATAAAAAATATGTAGAACATATTTTTATTTTCTAATTCTTCTGTGAAATGACTGTCCCATCTCTGCCCATTGGGTTTGGGGCCCTTCCTTTTGATATTCATGCTTTTACCACTGCAGGCTAGTGAACACAGCCAAGAGGGGAGACCAGGGGTGGCCAAAACTTAAGTGCTGCTTTTTGATTGATCCTGAACAAGAAAAAGAGCTACAAGAAGGCTCAAGCTCCCACACACAGCTCTCCAAAACACTTAGCCTCCTGCTAGAGTTGATTTTCCAGGGGTTTTTACTGGGAAGCAGTTAAGCCCCCTATTTATCCCCACCTTTTCACTCTACTCCTTTGACTTCAAAGATTTTTGGAAAAGAAGCAATATTCTTTACAACCACTTCCATTTTCTAAATTTTCAAAGGATATTAGAATATACTGCAGGAGTTCCACCACTACAAAGTTGAGAGGACAGAAAATCTTACAAGATAAACAATGAGTCCCCTAAATGAAAAGAGCAAAGGAACTGGTCTTCTATTTTGCCCATTCCTGTTCATGACAGCTACCAACCTGGGAACAGTAATATTTCATTAACCAAAGAAAGTGGGTCACCTGACCTCTAAAGAATGGAATACTCAGGCCATTGCAATCATCTGACAAGATGCTAAACATGAGCAAGTAAGACAAGAGAAGAATTCACCCAGGAGCTAAAAGGCAAGGATGGAAGACAAAGCAGGAAAACAGCAACAACAATAGGAGATAATTTAGTTAGATCTGAAATGCAGTCATTCCTTCCCTGGTATGTACTATTAGTAGTGGTAAGCATTTCCAGGTCCCCAAATGGAAAAAACTCAGTTGCTGGTAATGTAATGATATCCTTCCCCTGAAGCCAATTGTTTGCTTGGTTTTTGTCTTTATTAGCATTTAGTTTTTACTTATTTAATTCCAAAAGAGAAGGGAGCTAAAGCAATTTCCTGTAGAAGTGGAGATAGAAGGATAGAAGAAGATTCAAAGCTCTGATAAAGTCCTAACTTTCCCAGTTAGAAAACCTAAACACAGAGTGCTCAATCAGCAGAGGTGGAAAAATGTTCTAGTCCCAGGTAACTATCCCCAGAACAAATGAGCCACAAACTTGAAATTCAACCTCCCTTCTTCCTATCACTTTGGTCTCCATCCCCTATAGCTTTCTTGCTTCAAAAATTAAACCCTAGCATCCCAATGTCATTCCACAAGGAATTTCGCACAGACATCTCACGCTAGTGCCTGTCTGGAGCTTACCCAAGGTCACCAAACCACTTGGTTATGAGCTAATTGCCTTACCCTTTGGGAGAGAGGGAGGTTAGGAGACCACAGGTGAATGTGAACAGATGGGGACTTCACAAAGTTGGCAGGTCAGAGCTTGATTAGATGCCCAGCCAGTGGCAGCAAGAGATGGCTAGGCCCAGGAAAAGCACGTAAGTTGTCTTAATTTCTATCCAGAAGGTCGGGTGGACAAAAACATGTTGCTGGAGGCATGGGGGAAATGGGACCTGTTGTGTTGTTATTCTTGGACTGTGAATTTTGCTGATGTCAAACAGAATATTCTGTAAACCTAAGGTCTACATACAAATAATGAGTTAACACAGTAAAATATTCAATGAAAAGTCAAACTATTAGGGTTACATTTTTGCCCTCAATGAGTGCATCATTTTAACTATTGGGAGTAGAGTGGCTGGAACATTGAGGGTTCCAGGAGCTTTTGATAAGCAAGGCATCTGGTTGGACAGCAGGTGAGCACCAGGCTTCAAATCTGCATATATAAGCCTTAAGAAAATAGACTAGAGGCTGACACAAACCAAAGCAGGATGGCCTTAGAGCAACAGCAGCTTCCCAGATGGTTTTTATATTGTATTTGAAAACAGCCCTAGGTAGGGATATCAGAATTTCAAGGCCAAACTAAACATCTTCCCTACAATTTGCATCCTCGGAAAGAATTGCAAGATGAGGGGGAAGACTGTTTCTGCATAATATACATACTTCCATTTACGAACATTGGAATACAGACTTTCTATACACACATTACCTACATAATAAAAATGTACATGGCATGAGTATATGTCACTGTATAAATATAGAGTTTTAGAAATCTTGAACCCGCGCTTCCTGTTCACATCAATTTCTCCTCTTCTTTCTCCCCAGTCAGTTCCATCATTTCAGAGTTGGACAAAAGGGACAAGTGTCATTTGTGTTGGTCTGGGCCCAAAATTTGATACACTGGAAAGAAAGAAAGACACACCTCAGGTTTATCAGGGAAAACAAAGGGAAGGAAGGAAAGTGCGGTTAAGGTTCAACAAGGTCCAAATCAGAAAAGTTCTTACTGTGGGGGGCTGGGAGGGCTAGTTCAATGGCTGTTACCCCGAAAAGAATCCTCAAAGTATGTGAACTTGTCCTTTTTACAAGGAACATTAACAATAAGCTAAGAAGAGTGTTCATGCAGTTGCTCTCTCATGTAACTAACATCACTTCTCCCCACTTATCCAGTTAGCCTGAGAGGTGCTTCCATCTCCTAATGCCTGTCACCCTCAAATATTATTCAGGACTTTTTCTTGCCATCAATTCAGATGTAAATCCATGTCTACCTCTTGGAAAAACAAACTCAACAAAACAAAATAGTTAAGAAGGAATCATCAGTGCTGCTAAGAGATGTAACTCTCCCTGGCAACACAATCCAAGAAAAAGAATGACTTGTCAGTCTGTGAAGATAATCTCAGAGAGGCAGGCCTTCAGCTATTCTGTTAAGGGAGTTACCAACATATTCAGGTTCCCTATTCCATTCCTTTCACGTAAGCAAAGTCTCTTGGCAACACTATCTTTAAAAAAAAAATGATTAGATATGTAGGTTTACCTTTTATTGTCAATTTTTCAACAAAGAGACTATTGGTGCTCTAGTATAATTGCTTATCCAGTGTCCGGAAGGGTATGGGGTAAAAAGAAGCTGGGAGATCCCAGCTGCAGTATTCTGAATTCTGCTGATGTTTAAGCCATAATTTGTAGAAAAATCTGATGATCAGACATCATGATGAGCATGAACACAGTAAAATGTTCAAGAAAAATTCTGCTATTGGAAGAGACACAGTAGAAAATGAGGATGTATGTAGCACCCACCTCTTTGTGCAGCACATGAGTGCATGCCATTGGGTGCAGCTCACTGGGCTGGACAAGTTTCTGGCACATCAGACACAGCTTACAGGTGGCTGGTGCCTGCAGAACAGAGGCAGGATCACAAGGTAAGGAAACTCTGGGCCTCCTTGCCTTTCATGCCCACGATTCCATCTACTATTTCCAGGACAGGCCACAAGGGCAGAAAGATTTTACACCAAAAGAAATGAGTCCAAGTATAGATTCCTTCCTAAAGTACTGGCCTGTTGCTAGAATGGCTAAAAACAAGCAAGCTGACGAGGTAACATTTTCTTCCTGCACTCCACTGTAAACCCACTCCCTCCTCACCCCCAGCTTTGGCATACTCCAGGTGTTCCAAGAAAAGGAGTCTTACATGTGAAGACCTTCCCGGATATGAAACTTGGGCAGAAGGCAAGAACATTGGGGTACTGATTTGGGCCAGTGGAGCAGGGTACAAGGCCCGGATCCGACCAAGTGGCTGTGGGTAGAAACATTGTCAGAGTAAAGGAAGAGTCTGTGTAACACAGCATATGACAAAAAGAAATCATTTACTTTCCACTCCAACAAAGGAAGAAAGCAGACTAAATAACCCTGCTGCAATGCTTCTTCCCACCCCAAATTTTTCTGAAACCTGCCTCTTCCCCAACACCTCAGTAGGCCGAAGTTCTTCCCTAAGAAGCTTCTCTTACCTGAGTACTTGCTGCCACCCGCTCGTGTTCTGCCAGCCGTGCAGCTACCAGCTGGATCAGTTCCTCCATGGTCAGGCCTGCCATGGTGGTACGTGCCGTCTTGATCTGCTGGAGAATATTGGTCATCTGGGCCCTAAGAAAGAAAAATGTTGAGAGAGAGTCTATTCTGTATCCATGAAACCTATCCTAAACATTTTTCTAATAAAGATATTTTGATTAATCCTTAAAGACACTTACTTATTGCACTGTGGAAACCGAGTCAGCAGCTTTTCCAGGATCTTCTCCAGTTTATCTACTGGTTGGGGCCGGGGAGATTCAGTAGAAGCCTTAACACCGCCCAAGCCTGGGGGAGGCGGGATGGAGGCGGCAGGGGGCATGTGTGGACCGTGGGGGCTGACAAGGGAACCCAATCCAGGGCTATTTCTCCCATGGGAGCCAGGAAGGGGTGGGGAAGGCTGGTTGGGCTGGGAAAGGGCAGGGTTCATGATTGGGAAAGATAAGGAACGGGGATCTGCACTGGGCATAACCATGGGCATTGTGACCTGCCCAATGGAGAAGGGCATCCGAGGAGCCAGAGAGGGGTTGGGCTGGAACACCTGAAGCATGAAGTCTGTCTGCAGAAAGGAAGAGGCAGAGGACAAGAGAAAAAGAAGAAAAAGGAAGTTTAGGAGGAGCAGATGCGTGGTGCAGTGGTTAAGATGCCACTTGGAACGTGCAAATTCCATACTGGAGTGCCTGGATTTGAGATCTAACTGTTCCCAACTCCAATTTCTTGCTAACGTACACCCTGGGAGGCAGCAAGCAATAGCTGAAGTGATCGGCCATTTACAAAAGGGATCCATACTGAGTTCCCAGCTTCTGGCTTCTGCCTGTCCCTGCCCAGAATATTGTAGGCATTTGGCTAATGAACAAGCAGATGGGTGGTCTCTGTCTCTCTGGCTTTCAAGTAATTAGGTTTAAGAAACTAGAGTAGAGGCCGGCGCCGCGGCTCAATAGGCTAATCCTCCACCTAGCGGTGCCGGCACACCGGGTTCTAGTCCCGGTTGGGGTGCCGGATTCTTTCCCGGTTGCCCCTCTTCCAGGCCAGCCCTCTGCTGTGGCCAGGGAGTGCAGTGGAGGATGGCCCAAGTGCTTGGGCCCTGCACCTGCATGGGAGACCAGGAGAAGCACCTGGCTCCTGCCTTCGGATCAGCGCGGTGCGCCAGCCGCAGTGCACTGGCCGCAGTGGCCATTGGAGGGTGAACCAATGGCAAAGGAAGACCTTTCTCTCTGTCTCTCTCTCTCTCACTATCCACTCTGCCTGTCAAAAAAAAAAAAAAAAAAAAAAAAAGAAGAAACCAGAGTAGAAATCAATGAGCAACTCTTGTACGGAAAAGGGATTATTCCATTATCTTCATAAAAAGAACAAGTAGAAGACTCTAGCTCTACCACTAACATAGACCAGTGGAATTCCCAAAGCCAGTTCTCTTACCTCTGATGGGGGTGGAGGCAAAGTGGGAGTAGGGATTTGAGGAAGGCTGCTCAGTTTGGCTCCATTCCTCACTAGCTGAATATGACTATTAAACTGGTCCTGGGCAGAAAAGAAAAAAAGAAAAGAAAGGATTATCCTTTATTGCTGAGCTAGTGAGCCTCTCTAGAGGCTTTCCATTATCAAGGAAAAAAGAGAAGGGGGCAGGGCAGGCCCAACAGCAATGCAAAAATAAATAAATAAATGAAAATAAAAAAGCTACCATCTCCCCTTCACCAGAAGTGTTTAAGCACAAACTAACACTGACCAAATGGTCACCCATTACTACACATACCCGAACATTCTTTTTCATTATCCTAACTCCATTCAGTCTCGTCTCCCACTCCTGTTTGGAACGAACTGTCTCCAGTGTTGGAGGAGTTGACCTTTCAAGAAACCAATAGAAATTTACAGAATTAAAAGAGGCCCAATTCCTACTTCTCTGATACCAAAACAGTAGTTAGCTAATGAACTTCTAAGAACAGGTAGGAGCAGGTGCAGAAGCCCAAGATTCTAAGTCACCTGCCTCCCTTAACCATATCATTTTTTAAAAAATTTATTTATTTATTTGAAAGTCAGAGTTACAGAGAGAGAGAAGGAGAGGTAGAGAGAGAGAGGAGAGGTAGAGAGAGAGAGAGAAGAGTTCCATCCACTGTTTCACTCCCCAATTGGCCACTTCTTCAGGTCTCCCACGTGGGTGCAGGGGCCCAAGGACTTGGGTCATCATCTATTGTTTTCCCAGGCCATAGCAGAGAGCTGGATCAGAAGTGGAGCAGCCAGGACTCAAACTGGTGCCCATATGGGATGCCAGCACTGCAGGCAGCGGCTTTACTCACTATGCCACAATGCCAGCCATTTAACTATATCATCTTTAATGGCAGTTATTCAATAAAGAGGACCAACCACAGAGAGAGGGATTTTGTCTGCCTGAACATGCCACAGAAGTCTTCCAAATTCTATGACAGAAAAAAGAAAAATGACTACCTAAGAAACAAACCTCCATGACTGAGGCTATGCTTTGATAGCTCAACATGTTGTTTATTAATGGAAATAATACAATAAAGGTGCAAACCTATAATACTGTAGAAGGGAAGTTAAAGAGTGAGGAAAAGTTTCTAACATGGGAAGAGAAATCACTGAGCAATTACTACACACAAATATAGCCTTAGAGTTCCTGAAGAAAGAATGACTATCATGGCCAGCACCGTGGCTCACTAGGCTAATCCTCTGCCTGTGGTGCCGGCACCCCGGGTTCTAGTCCCGATTGGGGCGCTATATTCTATCCCGGTTGCTCCTCTTCCAGTCCAGCTCTCTGCTGTGGCCCGGGAAGGCAGTGGAGGATGGCCCAAGTGCTTGGGCTCCTGGCTTCGGATCGGCGCAGTGCAGTGCACCGGCCGTAGCATTTAGAGGGTGAATGGAAGGAAGACCTTTTTCTCTAACTCTGCCTGTCAAAAAAAAAAAAAAAAAGAATGACTATCAGATTTGGTGGTCTAAGGGTTCAAAAGCCTAAAAAACATATACAGACTTCAGGACCACTAACACCTTGGAATGGAAAGGTACTAGGGCTGGTGTTGTGGCAGTCATGCAGGGAGAGGCTTAAAATGGAAGCAGGGAGAGTCATTAGGAAGCTCGTACAGGAATCCAGGTAAGAGATATCAGTAGCCCTGAGTGTGGTAGAAAGGTGATAAGAAGCAGACTTTGGGTAGATTTTGAAGAGACGGCAGGACCTGCTGATAAAGGATTGAGGGACAAAGATTGGGAAAATAATGAAATGAAAAACCCTCATAAATTCTTGGATGAGCAACTATTAAATGATGGAGAGATGGGGAAGGCTAGAAGAGGAACAAGTTTGGAAGGAAATTTAAGAATTCTGTAGTATGGGTTCAGCAATGTGGCATAGTGGGTAAAGCTGCTGCCTGAAGTGCTGGCATCCCATACGGACACCAATTTGAGTCCTGGCTGCTTTACTTCCGATCCAGCTCCCTGCTACTGTGCCTGGGAAAGCAGCAGAGGATGGCCCAAGCACTTGTGCCCAAGAATCCACATGGGAGACCGGGAAGAAGCCCCTGGCTCCTGGTTTCAGATTGGCCCAGCTCTGGCAGTTGTGGCCATTTGGGGAATGAACCAGTGGACGGAAGATTTTCTCTCTCTGTCTCTCTCTCTCTGCTTCTGTATAACTCTGCCTTTCAAATAAACAAATAAATCTTAAAAAAAAAAAATTCTGTAGTATGTGGCTGGCCCTATGGTGCAGTGGGTTAAGCTGCCACTTGCATCCCCTATCAGAATGCCATTCTGAGTACCAGCTGTTCCACTTTTGATCCAGCCTCCTACTAAGTCACCTGGGAAGGCAGAGAATGATGTCCCAAGTACTTGAGCCTTTGCCACCCATGTGGGAAACAAGGAAGGAGTTTCTTGTTCCTGGCTTTGGTCTGGCCCAGACTCAGCTGTTGTGGCCATTAGTGGAGTGAACCAGTGGATGGAAGATCAATCTTTCTATTTCTGTCTCTCCCTGTCTCTATCACTTTGCCTTTCAAATAACTAAATAATCTTAAAAAAAAAAAAAAAGATGGGAAGGTACTCACTTGAGGTAAGTAAGATGCAGTTCTGCCTCCTTTTCTGCTTCTTCTAGTTTCAATACCAGCAATTCTTTCCGGCTCTCTAGTGATAAGATCTAAGGGAACCACACACACACAAATACTTTATTAATTTCACATATACAAAGCTATCTCTACATAGTTAACACAAATGCTTACTGGCTTTTCTTTACATCTAAAATATATACCACCTGGAAGCCCAAGATGAAAGCTTTCAAGACATCAGCTCTTCTTACCTCTGCCTTCCAGGCCCGCTCTGTCTCTTCCATAATGTTCCGATTTATTTCACCATCCTGATTCTTGAGTCTATCCAGTTCCATTTCCCACACCTCTCTGTAAAAAGAAACCAACTTGGTCTGCCAGGTCTGTTACAAGAAGTCTTTAAGTAGTAACTATAAAGTGGTCTACAATTACATAAAGGCCCTACATATGGAAGCACAAACGTTCACATCTCCACTTGCTAAAACAAGGTTACCTACAGCAGGAAAAAAAGTGTATCTTAAAAAGAAATAAAACCCTCACTGAAGGCAGAATGCTCATCTTTGTTGCTCATTATAGCATTTCTCTGATTTCTCACCTGTCTTCTAGTATGGGCCCTAAAGAAGGCAGAAACAAAGTCTATTTAATACTCATCTCTAATTCAGTATTTACCAATTCACTACCAAACAGGTACTGGCTTATGCGTTTCAGATTTTCTTAGCTATAGTAAACATTCTTCAAAAGCAAAAAATGCTTTCTCCATGCCCAGGACTTCTCATTTTCACTGATTTCCTCTCTTCTTACACACTCCCATCCCCATCTCTGTAGTGCAATATTCACACTTCACATTCAAGGTTGGAGTGGTCAACTATCCCAGTATGCCCAGTACTAAGGGATTTTCATAGGATGTGGGAATTTTTTTTTCTTTTTTTTGACAGGCAGAGTGGACAGTGAGAGAGAGAGACAGAGAGAAAGGTCTTCCTTTTTCCGTTTGTTCACCCCCCAATGGCCACTGCGGTGCTTCTCCTGGTCTCCCATGCGGGTGCAGGGCCCAAGCACTTGGGCCATCCTCTGCTGCACTCCTGGGCCACAGCGGAGAGCTGGACTGGAAGAGGAGCAACCGCGACAGAATCCGGCACCCTGACTGGGACTAGAACCCGGTGTGCCGGCGCCGCAGGTGGAGGATTAGCCTAGTGAGCCACGGCGCCAGCCGGATGTGGGACTTTCTGTGAATGGGACAAGGTGATCACCCTACTCAGAACTGAAGAGGCCATTAAGGAATACAGCCAGCCAAAAGTCCTTATATTAGTCTTGACTATAGTAAGTTTTATAGCTAAAAGCATAGGTTACCCAGATCAGTGGGCAGAAGGGCATAAAAATGTTTATTTTCACTGAATTTTAAAAAAGGTAAAAATACGGGCTAGTGCTGTGACAGTGGATTAAAGCTCTGGCCTGCAGCGCCGGCATCCCATATGAGTGCTGGTTCAAGTCCCAGCTGCTCTATTTCCGATATAGCCCTCTGCTATGGTCTGGGAAAGCAGCAGAAGATGGCCCAAGTCCTTGGGCCCCTGCACCTGCATGGGAGACCCAGAAAATGCTCCTAGCTCCTGGTTTTGGAACAGCTCAGCTCTGGCCATTGCAGTCATCTGGGGAGTGAACCAGCGGATGGAAGACCTCTCTCTCCGGCTCTACCTCTCTCTGTAATTCTTTCAAATAAATAAAATAAATCTTTTAAAAAAAGGTAAAAATAGGAATAATAGCTTGAAAAAGAGTACATCCTAAGAGAAATGTTCCCTTCTTTCTTCAGTGAGAAAAATTTTATTCCCCCTCTGCTCTTTTGGTACCCTTATATACACGAAAAAGCGTAATTCACCTACCAGAAGTTTCTGAGGCCCCTTCTACTCTCATATTCTTGCTTTTGACCCAATTTCTGAGCATTTCTGCTCTCTATTTCATAGATTCAGGGGTGTGTTTTGTGTTACACATTCATTCATTCATTCACACACATTCATTCATTCATTGTCATAAGTCTGCCCACAACTGACAAGGTCTATTTAGCTAATAGAAATGAGTAGCTGGGCATTTTCTTTCGCTCTCCATATATTCTCCTCCCCAAATTAACTTCTTGTCAGAGGAAAAATTCTCTAATAGTTCTTTAGAAAAAGGTTTAAATGTGGGGTCGGCACTGTAGCGCAACAGGTTAAACCCCAGCCTACAGCACCGGCATCCCAGATGAGCACCTATTTGAGTCCCGGCTGCTCCACTTCCAATCCAGCTCCTTGCTAATGTACCTGGGAAAGCAATAGAGGATGGCTCAAGTGCTTGGGTCCCTGCACCCACACAGGAGACCTGAAGGAAGCTCCTGGCTCCTGGCTTTGGATTGGCTCAACTTTGGCTGTTGCAGCCATTTGGGGAGTAAACCAGCAGATGGAAGACTTCTATCTCTATCTCTATCAATCTCTGTAAATCTTTCAAATAAATAAAATAAACCTTTTTTTTAAAAAAAAGTGTCAATGTAGCTGTGTTTTCCTGCTATGACACATAATCCTGAAGTTTCAAAATACATCAGTCAGGATCCTCTTACCACAATATGTGAAACACGTTGGTGAGTTCATCAATAATCCATCTATTTACTCTCTGACAATGGGATAATTGTAGGAAAAAATGAGAGTTGTCTTCTGTGATTGAAGTTATGCTTGAAGATGATAAATGTCCACTAACACCCCTAACTTTCAGAAAATACATTGGTCAACTAGAAATATGCACTTACATTAGAAAAACCCTACCTGTATCTATCCCTTCCACTGAAACCTTTTCTCTAAAAATTTCCAACCAGGGGCCAGCGCTGTGGTGTAGAAGGTTAAGCCTCCGCCTGCAGTATTGGCATCCCATATGAGCACTGGTTCAAATCCCAGCTGCTCCACTTCCAATCTTTCTCCCTGCTAGTGCATCTGGGAAAGCAGGAGAAGTCCTTGGGCCACTGCACCCACGTGGGAGACCCGGAAGAAGCTCCTGCCTCCTGGCTTTGGATGGGCTCAGCTCTGGCTATTGAGGCCATCTGGGGAGTAAACCAGGTAATGGAAGACCTCTTTCTCACTCTGCCTCTCTGTCACTCTGCCTTTCAAATAAATAAATAAATCTTAAAAAAAAGATTTATTTATTTAAAAGGCAGAGTGACATAAGAAAAGGAAAGACAGAGAGAGAGAGAGAGAGAGAGAGAGAGAGAGAGAGAATCTTCCATCAGCTGGTTCACTCCCCAAATCCCTGCAAACAGCCATGGCTGGACCGGGCAGAAATCAGGAACTCTGTCCAAGTCTCCCTGATAAGTGGTCAGAACTAAAGGACTACATCTTCTGTCTCCCAGGTACATTGGCAGGAGGCTGATCAGAAGCAGAGGCAGAACTCTGATATACGACGTGAGCATCCCAAGCAGTGGTTTAACCTGCTGTGCCACAACACCAGCCTCAGCAATTACCACTGAAGAACAGATACATCTTTCCACATAATCAAACAACACCATAATAAACTCAAAGCATCTAACAGATACAATATTATTGCAACATATAATACATATTCAAATTTTCCCAATTACTCCAAAAATGTCCTGCACTATTTTTTTCATCTAATCCAAGATTAAACCAAAGATCATGCATTGTACCTGATGGTCATGTTTCCTCCTTAACTTTTTTTTTTTTTTTTTTTTTTTTTTTTGACAGGCAGAGTGGACAGTGAGAGAGAGAGACAGAGAGAAAGGTCTTTCTTTGCCCTTGGTTCACCCTCCAATGGCCGCCCCGGCCGGCGCACTGCGGCCGGCGCACCGCGCTGATCCGATGGCAGGTACTTATCCTGGTCTCCCCTGGGGTGCAGGGCCCAAGGACTTGGGCCATCCTCCACTGCACTCCCTGGCCACAGCAGAGAGCTGGCCTGGAAGAGGGGCAACCGGGACAGAATCCGGCGCCCTGACCAGGACTAGAACCTGGTGTGCTGGTGCGACAAGGCGGAGGATTAGCCTAGTGAGCCGCGGCGCCGGCCTCCTCCTTAACTTTTATAACTATCTGCCTTTCTAGATGCATTCATGCCACCACTACCATAGTATCAGTATGTACTTCGTAATTATCTTTCTCTCCTAATAAACAATCAGCTCCAGGGCCGGTGCTGTGGCGTAGTGGGTAAAGCCACCGCCTGTGGTGCTGGCATCCCATATGGATGCTGGTTCAAGTCCCGGCCGCTCCACTTCTGATCCAGCCCTCTGCTGTGGCCTGGTGGGACAGTGGAGGATGGGCCATGTCCGTGGGCCCCTGTACCTGTGTGGGAGACCTGGAAGAAGCTCCTGGCTCCTGGCTTTGGATCAGCTCAGCTCCAGCTGTTGCAGCCACTTGGGGAGTGAACCAGAGGATAGAAGACCTCTCTTTCTCTCTGCCTCTCTGTAACTCTGTCTTGCAAATAAATAAATCTTTAAATAAATAAACAAAATAATTAGCTCCTCGAGTGTGGGAAGCAAACTGGACTGGACTGAGTTACTGGAATTAAGACTTATTCTATGCATCTGCTCTCCCACAATATGGCGCTGGGAGAGAAGTAAACAGCTTCCGCACAGCTGCCTCCAGTTCAACCAATAAACTGTAGGACTTGCTCCTGATTGGAGAGCAGCGTACTCGGCGTGTGGGCAGCTGAGTTGGGATTGGCGGAGGAGGACTATAAAGGAGGAGAGAGACGGCATGCACCAGGGAACATCTAAGGGGAACATCTAAGGGGAACACCTGTGCAGCCCCCGAGAAAGCCGGCCGGCGGTGTGCCGCTCCCCTGCGGAAGTGGGGAATGTGGCCAGGGGGAACTGCCCTTCCACGGAGGTGGAAGGGATAGTAGCCAACCCGGGAAGAACCAGCAGCAAACCCGGGGAGGGCCGAGCAGACGAAAGAACAGCGCAGGGTCCTGTGTCGTTCCTCCACGAAGAGGGGGAGCGACATAATGGTGCCGTGACTCGGATAGGAAACCTAGGACGGATATGAAACTTAGGAGGGAAGAAACAGGAAGAACTGGGAAAATATCGGAGAGACTAGCAAACAGCCTAGGGAAAAGCCGGACGAAAAAGGTGCTGGAAGAAGCTATTGAAAGCCTAGGCATAGACTCGGATACGGACTACGGGGGGAAGCTGGGAGAAATCTCTAAGGTCGAAAGCGAAAGTGAAAGCTAGAACAAACAGACTCGGACGCGGACTGTGGGGAGAGGCCAGGAGAAATGAGGGAGGAATATTGTTGGAAGAAAACTTAGGGAAACATACCGGGTAGAGAAAAGTGTTAGGGAAATTGAAGCCGCGGGGGGCAGGCCGAGGCTGAAACGAAAGCCACTTTGGGATTCTCAAGTTAGCCCGGGAATGGGGGGCGAAAAGTTGAAACCAGAAGCTGAAACGTAAGCCTGGTTGGGATCCGTCTGATTAGCCCGGGGAGCAAAGGACGGGAAGCCAAACCGTGGGGCGGAGACGTAAGCTGGGTTGAATTCGCCAGGCTAGCCCGGGGAACTTAGATTGAATGCTAGTGGCGGACACGTAAGCTACGCTGTGTGACTCGCGGAGGCTGCCGTGCGCAGAGAGAGCGTGCGGGGCACAAGTAGATAGGGAACGGGGCTGGCGCGAGGCCGTGGTTCAGACGCGAAAGGGTTAAGTGCGTAACCGCGGAGTGTGCGCGCAAAGCCGAGCCCCGCGCAGATGAGAGAGGCGCGGGCTGAAGCGGCTCAGAGCCGGCGGGGCGCCGAGAAGCAGCCTCGGGGCGGAGCCCGCTGGCGGGGCGAGGCGCCGGGAAGCCGCGCGGAGCCGTGAAGCTGCCGGCAGGGCGAGGCGCCGGGAAGCTGCAGGGATAAGAGAAATAGAAGTTTAGAAGCAAAGTGAGAGAAATACGAATGTTGGCAGACAGAAGTAAAATGGGAGAGATAGGAATGCCCGGAGATAGAGAAATAGAGAAAGAGAAAGGCCTCCCCACAACACAGCAATGTGAGAGCTTGGATTCGGTCTGCCTGATTAAGTGAGGCGATGAGCACCTGCGGCGGCTAGCAGCTTATGCGCCGCAGGTCACCGAAGACAGGCACGAATTAACATCAGTAAGGCTTCCCCACAATACAACAATTAGGAGGCTTGGATTCGGTCTGCCTGATTAAGGCGGTAAGCACCAGCAAGCAGCTCGACCAGAGTATGAGCTGCAGGTCACCGAAGATAGGCATGAACCAACACTAATAAGTCTCCCCCACAATACGGCAATGAGAAAGCTTGGATTCGGTCTGCCTGATTAAGGCGGTAAGCGCCAGCAGGCGGCTCGACCAAAGTATGAGCCGCAGGTCACCGAACACAGGCACGCATCAGCGCCTAAAAACCTCCTCACAACATGGCAAAGAGAGGACCCGGATTCGGTTTGCCTGATTGATAGGACTTGTAAGAACCTGTGGCAACTCTAGCAAGTAGAGCAGAGTGTGTGCCGCGGGACACCGAAGACAGGCGCGTATCAACGCCAAAAAATAAAAAGAAAGGGGGATCTGTGGGGAGCAAACTGGACTGGACTGAGTTACTGGAATTAAGACTTATTCTATGCATCTGCTCTCCCACAATATGGCGCTGGGAGAGAAGTAAACAGCTTCCGCACAGCTGCCTCCAGTTCAACCAATAAACTGTAGGACTTGCTCCTGATTGGAGAGCAGCGTACTCGGCGTGTGGGCAGCTGAGTTGGGATTGGCGGAGGAGGACTATAAAGGAGGAGAGAGACGGCATGCACCAGGGAACATCTAAGGGGAACATCTAAGGGGAACACCTGTGCAGCCCCCGAGAAAGCCGGCCGGCGGTGTGCCGCTCCCCTGCGGAAGTGGGGAATGTGGCCAGGGGGAACTGCCCTTCCACGGAGGTGGAAGGGATAGTAGCCAACCCGGGAAGAACCAGCAGCAAACCCGGGGAGGGCCGAGCAGACGAAAGAACAGCGCAGGATCCTGTGTCGTTCCTCCACGAAGAGGGGGAGCGACACTCGAGGACTTTTTATTCTCCAGGCCCAAAACACCTGGCTCATAGGACTCAATAAATGTTGGCTGAGTGAATGAAACAAAGAGCTATGAACAAGAGATCTGACAGTTACGGACCAAATCGTGTACCTCTAAATACACATGTGGAAGCTCTAACTTCAACTGTAGATGGGGATAGGGCCTCGAAGGAGGCAAATAAAGTTAAATGTGATCATAAGGATAGGGACCTAATCCAATAGGACAGCTGTCCTACAGGAAGAAGAGACATCAGTATTATGTGGACACAGAGAAGGCCATGGTGAGAGCAGTCACGCGCAAGTCAGGAAGAGGGGCCTCACCAAAAAGAAAACCTACATGCAGCTTCCAGAACTATGAGAAAACAAATTTCTGTTGTTAGTCTGTGGTACTCTGTTGTAGCAGTCCCAGGTGTTTAACACAATGATCAAAATCTCTGCCCACAGTTCCTGTGGATGATGGAACACTAAGGTAAACCTACATGACTGCTACAACAGACTCACAGAACACCTATTCTTCCTGCTTCTTGAAAAATGAACCCTACATTTAACAGAAAAAATGACAAAACATTTCTAATGCTTATGATATACATTAAAAAAAAAGCCAGGGCAGGCATTTGGCATAGCAGTTAAGACATTTGGCATTCCACATCAAAGGGCCTGGGTTTGACACTGGCTCCAATTCCTGATTCTAGATTCCTGCTAATGCAAACTCTGGAAGGCAGAGGTGATGGTGATAGCTACAGTGGTTTGATCCCTGCCATCCCCACTGGAGACCTAGATGGAGCTCCTGGGTGGCAGCTTTGGCCAGACTCTGTCCTGGCTGCTGCAGGCATTTGGGGAGAGAACCGACAGGTAATTTCTCTCTCTCTCTCTCTCTCTCTCTCTCTCTCTCTTTCCGTGTGTGTGTGTGTGTGTGTGTGTATGCATACATGCCTACCTGCCTACCTTTCAAATGAATAAATTTTTTAAAAACCAAACTGGATTTCCAAGACCTTGTGAAGCACAGCAAAACTGCTAGTGAAAATCAGTATTGGTAGCTATTTAATCAGACAGACAGGAACATTCAAAGAACATGTTTCACAGGGCCTTGAATAAAATTACAGACTCATTTCCCTAACTGCTGCTCCTTAAGATATCTGCTGCGGGGCTGGCACTGTGGTGCAAGAGGTTAACGCCCTGGCCTGAAGTGCCGGCATCCCATTTAGGCACCAGTTCAAGACCCGGCTACTCCACTTCTGATCCAGCTCTCTGCTATGGCCCAGGAAAACAGTGGAGGATGGCCCAAGTCCTTGGCCTTCTGCACTCACGTGGGAGACCCGGAAGAAGCTCCTGGCTCCTGACTGGCTCAGCTCTGGCCATTGTGGCCAATTGGGGAGTGAACCAGCAGATGGAAGACTTTTTTTTCTCTCTCTCTCTCCTCTCTCTGTGTTTTCTTTCAAATAAATAAATCTTAAAAAAAGGATATCTGCCGCTAAGCTGGTATCTGTATGCCATGCCTCACCTTCCCCACACAGACTATGAAGTTGATGGCAGGGGGCTATGTTGCTGTGGGCAGTGGCACTTGTCTTTCTTCTTTTTCTTCTTCTTCTTTTTTTTTTTTGACAGGCAGAGTGGACAGTGAGAGAGAGAGACAGAGAGAGAAAGGTCTTCCTTTTGCCATTGGTTCACCCTCCAATGGCCGCCGCGGCCGGCGCATCGCGCTGATCCGAAGCCAGAAGCCAGGTGCTTCTCCTGGTCTCCCATGCAGGTGCAGGGCCCAAGCACTTGGGCCATCCTCCACTGCACTCCCTGGCCACAGCAGAGTGCTGGCCTGGAAGAAGGGCAACCGGGACAGAATCCGGCACCCCAACCGGGACTAGAATCTGGTGTGCCGGCACCACAAGGGCGGAGGATTAGCCTAGTGAGCCGCAGCGCCGGCCCGGTGCTTGTCCTAATGGTGATCAATGACTGGGATAGTGTTCTGCTCCGAGTACACTCTTCGTAAGTGCTGAAAAATTACCATCATAGACAACTGACCCATCTTCTAATCACTAGTGTCACTAATTCTCATCAGAACAAGTGACCGGTCCTTAGGCTCTCTCCCACACATTCCTTCCCGTGTTGAAATTCCACAGTTATTATCTTTCAGACATGGGAAATGATTCAGTAAATGAGCTTGTTACTCTTCACCTAGCATTCTAACACATTAGCAAAAGTCAATATTTTCCTGATAATTAAAAATTCATTTTAGTAGAATTTAAATAAAATGACCACAATATTCACAGCACTTTGGTTTCCAAACAGCTCATTTTAAGAAACTTGGAAAATTGAGAATCTAACTAAATTCTATACCTATCCTGCTCTTTTTTTTTTTTTTAAAGATTTATTATTTATTTATTTGAAAGGCAAAGTTACAAAGAGAAAGGGATCCCTAAGACAGAGAAAGATCTTCCATCTGCTGGTTCACTCCCCAAATGGCCCCAACAGCCAGGGCTATACCAGGCCAAAGCCAGGAGTCAGGAGCTTCTTCTAGGTTTCCCACATAGGTTCAGGGGTCCAAGTACTTGGGCTACCTTCCAAAATGTTAATGGAGTTCATTGCTTGAACTTCTAAAAAAATTGTTATAAAGCAATTAAAACAGGTGTTAGATGCATATCAAAATCTTGATCATACTTGGGACTCAACAATTAACTGCTATCATTTCAAGGTAGTAATAAATCTGAAATTATTTCACAAAGTCCTACATGGGGTACTGAGGAAGCTAAAGTCATTGGACAGTTTTCACTGGGGGATTTGTTTTCAAATAAAAATCAGACCACCAGAAAAGAACCTGAAAGCACAAATGGGATTGGCACCTATGTGTACACACACACATGCAGAGGTTTTATTCTTAACATCATTTACCTTCTGCCCTTCTCACAAAGCTTCTCAATTTCAGCTTTCAGATCCTGCTCCTTCTGCAAAAACTCCTTCTTCTCTTTCTCTATCTTCTTCTTTGTTTCTTCTCGTTTTATTGTCACATCCTGAATCGCCTTTAGTATCTCCTGAATCCCACACAATTACAGACACAAACAAAAAAGGCATTAAGTTAGTTCTTCTGATCTACAGATTACTTTGAGCTATCACAAATTCATATACTGACTTTAGTGAATTCAAACTGAATTGAAAGAATCGGTTGATGAGTAGCTCTAAAAGCCAGACCTAAGGGAAAAAGTTACAGTAACATAGATTTCAACTCAACAGGAGAAAGAATTTCTAATAATCACAACTGTTTAAAAATGGAATATGCTGCCTTGTGAAGCAGAAAGTTCTCCATTACAGGTGCTGAAATAAAGGCTGAATGAAACACCTGTCAAGAATGCTGAGAAAAGCAACCCTGTAGCAGGTGGGAGTTTGTTACATTCAACAAATATGTTCTTGTTTTGTTTTGTTACAGTTCTACTACATTGTGTGTAGTGGATTTTCCTTCATTTGTATTCTTACAACTTAACAATAAATATGTATGTGTGTGTGTGTGTGTACATATACAAAAAATAAGTCAAACAGGGACAGGAATTGGGCCTTGTGATTAAGCTGTCAGTTAAGATGTTTGCATCCCATATCGGAGTACCCAGGTTTGAGTCCTATCTCAGCTCCCAATTCCAGTCCCCTGTTAATATACACCTGGGAGGCAGTAGTGATGGCTCAAGGAGTTGGGTTCCAGCCACCTATGTGGGAGACCTGGGTTGATTCCAGCTCTTGGCTATTGCCTGACCAAGCCCCAGGCACTGCAGGCACTTGGACTGCATGAGCAGATAGCAGATTTCTATCTGTCTTTCAAATAAGTAAGTAAATACTTAAAAAAAAAAAAAGTTAAGGTTAATGTTGTGGCATAGTGGGTAAAGCTGCCACTCGGGATCCTAGTATCCCATATAGGCAGTGGTTCATGTCCTGGCTATTCCACTTCCAATCCAGCTCCCTGCTAATGGTCTGGGGAGGCAACAGAAGATGGCTAGGATGTCTGGGCCCCAGCCACCCACATAGGAGACCTGGATTGAGTTCTGGGATCCTGGCTTTCACATGGCCCAACACTGGCCATTGCAGCCATCTAAGGAGTGAACCAGGGGATGAAAAATCAATCTCTCCCTCTCTGTCTCTACCTTTCTCTGTAAATCTTTCAAAAATCAATGTCTTTTTAAAAAAATGTAAAAATTAAAAAAAAATTAAGTTAAATAACACAAAGTTTATAAGATTAAGTTACCCTTGATTTCACAAAACTTCCATCCATAAAGTAATCAATGTCTTAAATGCATTGTGCTACCCTTTCATGTCTTTCTCATAAAAACACATGTATAAGGGAGTCTTCAAAGTGCTCACTGAAAGTACATGTAGTTTTTTAAAAGATTTATTTTTATTTATTTGAAAGGCAGAGTGAGAGAGAGAGAGAGAGAGAGAGCGCGCTTCTATCTGCTGGTTCACTCCCCAGATGACCACAACTGCTGGGGCTGGACCTGGCCAAACCAAGCACCTGGAACTCCACCTGAGTCTCCCATGTGGGTAGCAGGGGCCCAAGTACTTGGGTCATCTTCCACTACTTTCCCAGGTACATAGGAAAGTTAAGCAGCTGAGGCTTGAATCGGCACCCATATGGGATACCAGTGGCATTACAGGCAGCACCTTAACCCACTGTGCCACAACGCTGGCCCTGAAAAACACATATTATGAAAAAATAATGTATAGGTTTCAAATTTTTGTACCAAAATAAACTTGTCTTTTCATCTCTTTTTCCAAGGGTGCTTTTTGAAGTACCCTTGAATACTTAGGTAAATCTGACTTATTACTTTGTATTTCATTTCTCAAAAATATTAGAACATCTTCTGTACATTATCTGCATCATGCTTTTTCTCATTCGTACACACTACAGCAATAAATACAGACACAGCTCAAGAACAGCTGCATAGGGCAGGCATTTGGCACAGTGGTTAAGGTGCATGGGATGCCAGTATCCTGTATTTGAGTGCCCGGTTTGAGTTCCAGCTCTACTTCTAATTTCAGTTTCCTGCTAATTCACATGCTAAGGAGGCAGATTTTGGCTCAAGTATTTGGGTCCCTGCCATTCATGTAGGAAACCCAGACGGAGTTCCTGGCTCCTGATTTCAGCCTGGCCCCATCCTAGCTATAACGGGCATTTGGAGAGTGAGACAGCAGATGGAAGATTCCTGACTCTTTCTGCTTGCTTTTTTTTTTTTTTTTTTTTTCTTTCTGAAGCTTTGTTTATTTGAAAGGCAGAGATACAGAGAGAGAAGGAAGAGAGAGAGAGGTCAAGATCTGCCATCCACTGGTTTACTCCCCAAATGACCACAATTGCTAGGGATTGGCCAGGCCAAAGCCAAGAGCCAGGAGCTTCTTCTGGGTTTCCCATGTGGGTGCAGGGGCCCTAGTACATGGGCATTCCCCTGCTGCTTTTCCCAGGTGCATTAGCAGGGAACTGGATAGGAATTGGAGAAGCCAGGACTCGAACCGACACCCTTATGGGATGCCAGCACTGCAAGCAAAGGTTTAACCTTCTACACCACAGCACCGGCCGCAATCTTTCTGTCTTTCAAATAAAATAAATGCTAAACAAATACATTCTCTTAAAAAAAAGATAAATATGATATCATATATCTAATTTTTCCAACCATTCTTTGCTAAAATTCCATCAAACTGATTCCAATGTTTTTATAATTACACTTCTACTCTATTCCAATTTTAAGATTCATTTATTTTATTTTGAAAGTCAAAGTTACAGAAAGAGAAGGAGAGACGGAGAGGTCTTCCATCCATTGGCTCGCCCCCCCAGATAGTCACAACAGCCAACACTGGGCCAATACTACAAAAAAAGAAATTATTCATTTATTAAAGAGAGATAGCAAGAACTCTCATCTGCTGGTTTATTGTACAAATACCCATGATGGCACTGCACTGGGAGGCTCAGCCAGAAGCCAAGAATTTAATCCAGGTCTCCCATATGGGTGTCGGGTACCCAATCACTTGCGCCAATACCTGCTACCACCTAGGGTCTACATTAGCAGAAGCTGGAGTCAGGAATCAAATCCAGGCACTACACTCTGGGACATGAGTGTGTTAACTGCTAGGCTAAATGCCAGCTCCCGAGCTACTTTTCATATATTTCTGATTTGCTTTTCCTCTTCTGTGAATTTGTTTATAACTGTGATTAGCAAAGTAACACACCCCCACCCCAAGATGTCCACAATCTAAGCTCCGGAATTTGTAAATAAGTTACTTTCCATGACAAAAGGGACTTTGGAGATGTTATTAGGAGAAAAGCACAAGATGGGGAGATTATCCTGGGTTATCTAGTGAGGGCCAATCTAATCACATGAATCCTTAAAGGTAGAGAATTATTTCCAGTTGAGTTCAGAGCAAGATGTGATTAGCGAAGAAGTCAGACAGATACAATGCTGCCGGTTTTAAAGATGAAGGAAGGGGACCATAAGTCAAGTAATGCAGATGACCTCTAAAGCAAGGGTGGGAAACTTCTTTTCTGCCAAGGGCCATTTGGATACTTACAGCATCATTCATTGGCCAGACAAGGTTATCAACTTAAAAATTAGCCTGGTAGGGGCTGGCACTGTGGCTTAGAGGGTGAAGCCACCACCTGCAGTGCCAGAATCCCATATAGGTGCTGGTTTGAGTCCTGGCTGCTCCACCTCTGGTCCAGCTCTCTGCTATGGCCTAGGAAAGCAGTGGAAGTTGGCCCAAATCCTTGGGACCCTGCACTTGTGTGGGGGACCCAGAAGATGCTCCAGGATCCTGGCTTCAGATCAGGCCAGTTCCTGCCATTATGGCCATTTTGGGAGTGAACCAGCTGATGGACGACCTTTCGCTTTCTCTATCTCTGCCTCTGTTAACTCTGCCTTTCAAATAAATAAATAAATCTTTAAAACAGAATTAGCCTGTTAGGAGTCAGCATTGAGGTGCAGGTTAAGCTACTGCTTGCACCACCAATATCCCATATGAATGTGTTAGTCCCAGTTGCTCCATTTCCAATTCAACTCCCTCCCTCGGGAAGGCAGCAGAAGATGGCTCTGCCACCTACATAGGAGACTAGGATGGAGTTCCTGGCTCCTGGCTTTGGCCTGGCCCAGGCCCATGCCATTTGTGGCCACTTAAGGAGTAAACCAGTGGATAGAAGATCTCTTTCACTCTCTCTCTCATTCTCTCTAACTCTGCCTTTCAAGTAAATATAGATCTTTAAAAAAAAAAAAATTAGCCCGCTACAGATTTATCGAATTTCAAGCACCACTTGCAATGGCTTTGGCAGGGCCAGTCCAAATGATCTTGTGAGACTTATCTCCAGGCCCACAGCCTGGATATTTCCCATCTCTGCTCTTGAAGTTGGAGACACAAGGAAGCATGCTCTTCCACAGAATCCCCAGAAGAGAATGCAGCCTTACCAATGGCGTGACTATAGCAGTGACAGCCACACTGGGTTTCTGACCAACTGAATGCAAAACAATAATTGTTTAAACCACTAAATTCATCATAAATTCAACACCATTCCTGATTTTTCTCTGGACTGACTTTATATAATTTCTAAGAATCTTTAGAATCTCATAAATATTAAAATTTTATCAAACGTGCTACAAATATTTTCTCCCAATCTAACAATCTTTAGACTTTACATCATTTGTCATACTGAAAAATTTTAATTATATGAAATTAAATTGATTAATCTTTTTCTTTATGGCTTCTGGGTTTTTCTGCCTTGCTTAAAGTAATCTCTTGCAATTTGAAGCTCTATAAATATTCTCCTAAATTTTCCAATTTAAAATTTCTCCCTAATTTTTAATCTACCTGGAACTATATTTTTAATATGAAAAAAGGCAAGATGGGGCCAACACTGTGGCATAGCAGGTAAATCCGCTGCCTGCAGTGCTGGCATCCATATGGGCGCCGGTTTGAGTTCCGGCTGCTCCACTTCTGATCCAGCTCTCTGCTATGGCCTGGGAAAGCAGTAGAGGATGGCCCAAGTACTTGGGCCCCTGTACCCACAAGGAGACCCAAAAGAAGCTCCTGGTTATTGGCTTTGGATTGGCATAGCTCTAGCTGTTGCAGCCAATCAGGGATTGAACCATCAGATGGAAGACCCTTCTCCCCCCGCCCCTGTCTTTCCTTCTCTCTCTGTGTAACCCAGACTTTCAAATAAATAAATAAATCTTGGGGCCAGTGCAGTGGCACAGTGGATAAAGCCACCACCTGCAGTGCTGGCATCCCATATGAGCACCAGTTCAAGTCCTGGCTGCTCCGCTTCTGATCCAGCTCTCTGCTATGGCCTGGGAAAGCAGAGGATGGCCCAAGTCCTTGGGCCCCTGCACCCACACGGGAGACTCGGAAGAAGCTCCTGGCTCCTGGCTTCAGATCGGTGCAGCTCCAGCTATTGTAGCCAACTGGGGAGTGAACCAGCAGATGGAAGACCTCTCCCTCTCTTTCTGCCTCTCCTTCTCTCTCTGTGTAACTCTTTCAAATAAATAAATAAATCTTTAAATAAATAAATCTCTAAAAAAAAAAAAAACAAAGGGGCAGGAATAGCCATTTGGCATGGCCCAAATGTTAATGACCCAAAAGTTAAGAAACCACATGGGATACCCACATCCTACAGGGGAGTACCTGGGTTTGAATTCCAACTTGCTCCAGATTCCAGCTTCCTGCTAATACACACCCTGGAAAGCAGCAAGTGATAGCTCAAGTGGTTGAGTTCCTGCCACCCATGTGGCAGATGGTTATCATATGATTTATGATTTAGAACAAAGAGAATCTTTGAACCTATCTTGTCTAAACTCTTACTCCTATTTTAGTTCAGAGAGAAAAGGCTTATTTATTTAATATACTTAGCTGACAAAGTTACCTACATGGAAAAAACTTTATTAGACTTGTACCATACACACACACACACACACACACACACACACACACACAGACACTCTTTATCTGAAAGGCAGGCAGGCAAGCAGGCAGACACAGAGGTCTTCCATCTGTTTGTTCACTCCTCAGATGCCTGCAATAGTCGAGAATGATCCAGATGAAGCCAGAAGCCAGATGTCAATCCAGATCTCCCATGCAGGTGACAGGGAACCAAGTGCTTGAACCATCATCTGCTTCTTCCCAGGGTATACATTTATAGGAAGCTGGAATCAGAAGAGGAGCCAGAAGCCAAACCCAGGCCCTCCAGTATGGGATGCAGGTATCACAAGCAGCATCTCATCTAACAATTTCTTTTTTTTTTAATCTTTTTTCTTTTTTGTTCAATTACTTTTATTTTTTACAAACAATTTCAATATAAGCAAAATACCTGATGATTCTTCATTTCTTCCTCTCTCCTCTGCTGGAGCTGCTTTAATTGCACCTGGAGCTGATTCTCCACTTGCCTCTGCTTGTCTAGGACCTCCTGATAACGCTCCTTCAAGAGGGTTCTCTCTGTCATCATTTTATCCTAATGGGAACAACACAAGAGAAGGTTACTTCCTAATTTAATCACAAGAACTATTCACCAGGGTCAAGCATTGTGGTGCAATGGGTTAAACCACCACTTATGACTCCGGCATTCCACATAAAGTGCCAGTTCAAGTCTCAGCTCTGCCACTTCTGATCCAGCTTCCTGATAATGTGCCTGGAAAGGCAGAGGATGATAGCCCAAGTGCTGGGGTTCCTGCCACCCATGTAGGAGGCCCAAAGATCCTGACTCCTGGCTTTGGTATGGCCTAACCCTGGCTGTTGTGGGCATTAGGGGAGTAAACCAGTGAATAGAAGATCTCTCTCATCCTCTCTTTATCTTCCAAATAAACAAATCTTTAAAAAGAAAAAAGGAAAAAAAAGGAAGGAAGGAAACATGCACTAAGTGCCAGTCCAAAGGCATTGTGCAGTTCTCGGGCTGCACTAACACTGGAACTACCAGCCATATGTGGTTATGCAACTTTGAAGTATGATAAAACAGAAAAATCTAGGCCCTCAAGCCTAGCTACATCTTAAGTTCTTAAAGGCTACATGTGACTAGTAGTTAGTGGTTAGCATACCAAACAGCAGAGATACAGAGCCATTTCCAAAGTTCTGGCAACTCCTATCATACAACATTACTCTAAGGCTTTGTTGACGACCTATAGATCAAGTCAAATCTGGCTATCACCTGTTTGTTTATTTTATTATAAATACAAGCACACCCATAGTTTCTGGGTTGTTTTCACACTACAGTGGAAGAGTGGAATAGCTACAAAGAGGCCAAATAGTTCACAAAGCCTAAAATATGCATTATCAGATCCTTGATCGAAAATGTTTGCCAACTCTTGCTCCAGGGGTTATGAAGGAGGTACTTTATCATCAAAAAGAATGTGCAAAAACAAAGAACACAGGATCTACTGAAAATGCATCCAAGAACAGGATACCTTACTGGTCATTAGCACTAAAAAGAGATTCACCAAAGAAGTCTATGGATTCCTGTATTCCAACAGAACAAATCAGCAAATTCTCATAAAATCTAGAGATTAGAAGTGAGGCTTGGGGCCAGCGCTGTGGTGTAGCAGGTAAAACAGCCGCCTGCAGTGCTGGCATCCCATATGGGCGCCAGTTCAAGTCCCGGCTGCTCCACTTCTGATCCAGCTCTCTGCTATGGCCTGGGAAAGCAACAGAGGATGGTCCAAGTCCTTGGACCCTTGTGCCCTAGTGGGAGACCCAGAAGAAGCTCCTGGTTCCTGGATTCAGATCAGCACAGCTCCAACCATTGCTGCCAATTGGGAGTGAACCAGCGGATAGAAGACCTCTCTCTCTCTGCCTCTCCATCTCTCTCTGTGTAACTCTGACTTTCAAATAAAATAAATCTTTAAAAAAAAAAAAGTGAGGATTCTGAGGATCACAGTTCAGCTCTGTCTCCCCTTTATCAGCTCCTGCTGTTGTGGCTATTTGAGGAGTGAACCAACAGATGGAAGCTTGTTATCTCTCACCCTCTCTCTGCCTCTGCCTCTCTGTAACTCTGCCTTTTTTTTTTTTTTCGGACAGGCAGAATGGACAGTGAGAGAGAGAGACAGAGAGAAAGGTCTTCCTTTACCGTTGGTTCACCCCCCAATGGCTGCCGCAGCCAGTGCGCTGCAGCTGGTGCACTGCACTGATCTGAAGCCAGGAGCCAGGTACTTATCCTGTTCTCCCATGGGGTGCAGGGCCCAAGTACTTGGGCCATCCTCCACTGCACTCCCTGGCCACAGTTGAGAGCTGGCCTGGAAGAAGGGCAACCGGGACAGAATCCGGCGCCCCGACCGGGACTAGAACCTCGTGTGCCGGCGCTGCAAGGTGGAGGATTAGCCTAGTGAACCGCGGCGCCAGCCTTCTGCCTTTCAAATAAATAAATAAATAAATACATCTTTTTTTTAAAAAAGAAATTTACGTATTTGAAAGGCAGAGTTAGAGAGAGAGAGGGAGACAGGCAGAGAGAAGTCTTCCATCCACTGGTTCACTCCCCAGATGGCCACAATGGCCGGGGTTGGGCCATGCCAAAGAAAGGAATGGAAACCAGGAGCTTCTACTGGGTCTCCCATGTGGGTGAAGGGGTCCAAGAATTTGGGCCATCATCTGCAGCTTTCCCAGGCCACAGCAGAGAGCTGGATCAGAAGTGGAGCAGCTGGGACTCAAACCAGCGCCTATATGGGATGCTACCACTGCAAGTGGAGGCTTTACCTGCTACGCCACAACACTGGGCCCAAGCATCACATCTTTGCAGAGAACCTGAATCTGGGGTTTATGGACAGTCCTCAGGTGATCTTCAAACTGATATGGGGGTGTGTGGAGAGTGTGGGCAGTGTGAGTTTTTTTTTTTTTTTTTCTGAGATAAGAATTCAGTTTTTAAGAAGGTTCTGAAAGCCGGCACCGCGGCTCAACAGGCTAATCCTCCGCCTAGCGGCGCTGGCACACCAGGTTCTAGTCCCGGTCGGGGCGCCGGATTCTGTCCCGGTTGCCCCTCTTCCAGGCCAGCTCTCTGCTGTGGCCAGGGAGTGCAGTGGAGGATGGCCCAAGTGCTTGGGCGCTGCACCCCATGGGAGACCAGGAGAAGCACCTGGCTCCTGCCTTCGGATCAGTACAGTGCGCCGGCTGCAGCGCGCCGGCCACGGTGGCCATTGGAGGGTGAACCAACGGCAAAGGAAGACCTTTCTCTCTGTCTCTCTCTCTCTCACTGTCCACTCTGCCTGTCAAAAAAAAAAAAAAAGGTTCTGAAAAGTAAATCTTAACCTAAGGCAAGTAAAGAAAAGTGAAGAAACAAATAGACGAAAGAATTTCTTTTCCTTCCCTTTGCTTCCTCATGATATATTCCTCATCTTCTTGCATCTTTAGATCATACACAGAATAAGGAAAGAGCATTAGTATCAGGGAACGAAGTCTTGGGTACATACTATTTTACTAGTACATACAAATATGCAACTTAACAGCAAACAGTAAATTACTTGATCCAATTCATCTCATCTTTTTTTTTTTTTTTTTGGACAGGCAGAGTGGACAGTGAGAGAGAGAGAGACAGACAGAAAGGTCTCCCTTTGCCGTTGGTTTACCCTCCAATGGCCGCCGCGGCCGGCGATCCGATGGCAGGAGCCAGGTACTTCTCCTGTTCTCCCATGGGGTGCAGGACCCAAGCACTTGGGTCATCCTCCACTGCACTCCCAGGCCACAGCAGAGAGCTGGCCTGGAAGAGGGGCAACTGGGACAGAATCCGGCACCCCGATCGGGACTAGAACCCGGTGTGCCGGAGCTGCAAGGCGGAGGTTGTTATACACTGTTACTTTGTCTCATCAGTGACTAGATGGTTCCTAGACCAGGAGTAACAATTTCAAATGCAGGTAAAGGGAAATTTCCATATATGCATGAAAACAGAAAATATCAGGAACCAGGTTCTTATACTGCTACCAGCTTAATACCTGCCTCGTTTCACAAGGTTTTTAAAAAGCACTTGGGGGTTGGGGCTGTGGCATAGCAGGTAAGGCCGCAGCGCCTGCAGTGCCGGCATCCCTTGTGGGCGCCAGTTCAAGCCCTGGCTGCTCCACTTCTAATCCAACTCTCTGCTATGGCCTGGGGAAGCACTGGAAGATGGCCCAAGTGCTTGTGCCCCTGCACCTATGTGGAAAACCCAGAGGAAGTTCCTAGCTTTGGATTGGCCCCACTCCGGCTGTTGCGGCCATCTGGGGAATGAACCAGCAGATGGAAGACCTCTCTCTCTCTGCCTCTGCCTCTCCATAACTTTGCCTTTCAAATAAATAAATAAATATTATTTAAAAAAATCACTTGAACCTCACTACTACCCAAAACATTATAGCCAAACAAAAAAATCCCGGGCCCCTTTTTGGCCCAATGGCTCACTGGATTTGCAGCCCTGTATCAGAACAAGGGAAAGCTTATTTATGCCTTTGTAGGGGACCCCTTCAAACACCATGTCCTTCCCTGAACCCAAGCTTACAACTGTGAGGACAGAATAAAGACGGCGTAACATGGTTAAAGTCAGCACTCGAGGAAAGGTGGTTTCCTCCCACTTCCCTGAAGTTCTTTTCTACCCTCATTTCCACCAAGCCCTTCTCTACGAGGGCTTTCTTCTCCGGGACCTTTCTACCTGTCTGTTACAAGTAACTCTTCGGTTACCACTCTCCAGCTAAAAACTTCTACTGGTTTCATCTGCCTAATATACTCCGATAACTACATCTTTACACCTGCCCCTCGCTTCCTTCAACTTGCACCAGATACCCACTTTCTTATCTGGTTATAAGCAATGTTCCTGTTCATACTGCTCTGCCCTCAATTTACATACCTTACCCCAAAGATCTGATCCCAGGTATCTTTCCCAACATTGGCCTTCCTCTTAAAAAATACACATTTAGGAAAAGAGACATAGGCCAGTAAATAATGATAAAGATATCAATACAACAAGAGGAAATAATAAGTATAAATATATATGTGCCCAATACTGGAGTACTCAATTGTATGAGGCAAGTATTACCTCTCAATAGAGAGACAGACTGGAATATGATAATAGTCAGGGCCTCAACATCCCACTCACATGAAGAGACAGATCATCCAGACAAAAAAATCAACAAAGAAATATCAGAGGGAAATTGGACCTAACAGACGTTTATAGAGCATTTCAACCAACAGCTGTAGAATACAAATTCTTAACAGCACATGGAACATTACCAGGAGACCACAAGCCACAAAACAAATCCCAGCAAATTTTTTAAAAGTGCAATTGTAAATGTACTTTCTCTGACAGCAAAGAGAATAAAATTATTTCTTGAAAGAAATGCAAATGAAAACACAATATACCAAAACCTACAGGGTACAGCAAAAGCAGTACTAAGAAGGAAGTTTATAGCAGTAACAGCATCGTGGCACAGCATGTTAAGCCGTCGTCTGCGTTGCTAGCAGCCTGTATCAGAGTAGGAGTTCAATCCCTGCTGCCCCACTTCTGATTCA